TTCCCCTGGAAGTACGAGGAACTTCTGAACACCAGAGACAAGTGATAAAGGTGGCACCTTCACTACTCCATCTTTACCCTCAAGTATACTGTGCATCCTTTCCCTTTGGTTTTGAAAAACACTGTGTAGGACCTCCCTACTCCCTGCTAAAAAAATTCTTGCTCTTCTTATGGAGTGGAGGAACACGCACTGTAGGTTTTACAGCCTCATCCTCTTACACGTGTACTGCAATTAACATCACACTTTCACCGACCCGCCACTTACTCCAACGTCTAAAAGTGTCTGTCCCACTGTTGACAATCCCCATGGCAGAACCCACCCCATATCATTACTACCAGGTTATACATTGAGGAATTCTATCGTTATCCCTCAAAACACACATGCTCTGCTTATCTGACACAAAATATCAGGCTCCTCTCCTCTTCCAACAACAGTTCCACCAACACCCCCATCCCTGTACACAACTGTAAACACTGAATTGGAGTGCCTGCAAATAATTTGTGGAGTTATTGCCAGGTTCTGGAGTTACAGGTGTAAGGGTATGGTAAGGGTTTAATGTCTGATATCCAGAAATCTCTGTTCTAGTGAACTTGATCTTCTGGAGTGGCACGCCATGCTACCAAGCAGCTTTAATTTGTCTTTGGTTTCCTTTCATGGTGAATTCTCTTTTAGTTATATTGATAGCAACTGGATCATAATTATTTCCAAAGCCAGTATTTTGGATTTGACTTTGTTTGGTACTAACTGTAAAAGCGTGATTCTTCTCACTTTCCAGATGGAATTCTCTTGACTGTACTGATTAACACAATATATCCTTCCCGCTTGAATTCTCATCCCTCTTAGGACTTCTCCTTGCTTTTGCCATGGAAGCATTTGCTTTTGAAGACAGTATATGATGAGATGAACATTGGGACAAGGAGGGTGGCAAAACAAAATGGCATTTCAAAGATAACTCTAACTCCTAAATTATCAGAGCAGCAGAGAAATCGTTCAAAAGCCTGAATGCAGCTTGATGTGACTTCCACAGTATCTTTACCCAAGCAGCTACAACACCAATTCATTAACAAAAGTCATCTCCAAACGCATTTTGAATCATTAATGCACTAGATCTATTAATTTGCAATGATTTACAAGCATATGAGCACCAAGTGGAGCATCTTGAAATTCCAGTTTGGCAAATTAATTTCCAGCTGCTTAAATTCGACTTTCAGCATCAGACAGCACAAGATACCATATACTTAACTTGAACGGCCGGGTGTACTATTAAGCCTATAGTCAACTGCTACTATAGAAACAGCTGGAACAGTAAGGAGCTCAGGAGTGCTCTGGAAACACTTATTTTTGAGACGTGTTATGAGAAAGCTAATACACACAAAGCACTGAGAGCTCAAAGGACACTCCCTTTTACAAATGCTGAAAGTCTCCAAAATGTCCCTTAAAAGGGTTCTGTTTTCCAAGGAGGTAAAGAACAATACTTACAAAGTAAACTGCTCCAAAACTTCCATGTCCAATTTCATGTAAACCCACAAATATTTCTTCGGGATCATCTTTGTAGAACAGGTCAGCTATTTCTGGGTCCTTTGGCACCCCTTTGCGCATGTTGAACAGTATTATGAACTAGTTCGCGCCTTCAACTTCTTCCTTCATCGACAAAGTAGTTTGTAGACAGCATTCAGCACCTGGTGAAAAAGTTCATCGTTAATCTGTTTCCTTTACGCACGTTTTCTGTTCTCGCTTCTCTGAGAGCAAAATAAGAGGAAACACTTTCAGGAGCAATAGACCTCACTATCGTTTCCTTCAGCAAATTCTTTTTACTTATTAGTCCAATTTAGATATAGAGATTAAAATGCATTCAGAGTACAACAGCTCTTTATCTCATACAGGAAGCAAGTGCTGCAGTTACACTAAAGTCCACTTGAAGACAAGAGTCCTGTTGCTATGCAAAACATCCTGTGATTCGAGTTTGTTATTCTTCACGCTGGTCTCCTAATGTGTCAGTTTTTAGACTATCACCATTGTTCCTCCTACTTTCCTCTGCTGTTTGTTTGCTTTGTTTCTCTACTCCCACTTGCCAGCTGGTGCTAGTAGCATAGTTTGTTTCTATTCCACAGAAACACTTCACAATCATATGATTATTTTTCTTTATTTATTTATTTGTCAGAGTTATAAGACAGCTAGTGCTGTTGGATTGTGATGACTCCCAGGTCACAGAATCGCTTTTGAAAGATCCTAGAGTCCATCATGTAAGGTAGACCTTAGCATCTTTCTTTGGCACAAGCATATAATTAGCACAGAAATGAGCTGCTCTTAAATTAAGATTTTAAACATTCATCTCCCAAATATTATTCATGGAAAAAAAAATCAGAAAACATCCTGAAAAAACTGCATTGGTTCATTAGACACTGGAGTGCAAAGCAATGACGGATGCCTCTTCCCATCTGCTTTTGACTTCTGAAACCCAGCAGATTATCTGCAGGTGAGCAAGTCTTAAAACTATTTGCTGATAACGTAGTTCAGCACCTCATTTATTGAGACCCCATCTTCTCTGTGCACAAGAGATTTCTAAAAACATACACTGAAGTGTTCCGCCTACCTCATGATCTAAGCCAGTGTGACATTTAAAGAGAGACCAGCTGAAATTTGGCAATTGGATAAAATTAAAACACACATAAAGGGATTTAGAAGTTTTCAGACTGCAAGTGCCATCCAGATGGAACAATGAAAGCAGAGGATAATTTTGGTCTGGGGCTCAGCCAGCCTCCTGGGCTCAGGATGGTAAGTAACGGAGCAAGCAGCACAACCACCTGCAGTTCGTTGCGGTGTGTGAAGTACAGCTGGAGCGTACCTGGGAAAGTGTGGCACAAAGCATGCTCTGGGGCTCAGATTCCTTTCAGCAGCACTGTCCTGTGCTCTCGTCCCCCCAGACTCTACGCGCTCTTCTATTCTGCAAAGGGGGAAAAAAAAAAGAAAATCGGTATTTAGAAAAAACATTTTAAGTGTAGACCTTATTCTAATACACAAAAACAGTACAGCCAGAAAAGACCACGGGCTGTCAAGGAACCATTTGAAAGCGCAGTTAAAAGGAGCACTGGCTGTGAACGCTGGCGGTGTCTCTTGGGGGAGGATACGCACTTCCTCCATCCATAGCCCTGGGGCTTGCTAGACATCATTACATGATAGGAAACCAGGAAAAGAGGCTGTAGAAGTCAAAGAACTTTGCACGTCAAGACTCTTAAGCTTGCTGGGGCGCAGTTTACTCCCGGACTACACTTTTTCGATTGGCTGTAAAAAGGACACAGCTCACGAAGCCGAGCCTATTATTTAGCTCAGCGTGTTGTACCTGATGACATGCAAGAGTTCAAATAAAGTCCTGGGCATTAGTAAGTCAAACATTGTTGGATTCCACCCAGGAGAGAACGAGCAATGAACACACAACAAAGAAGGGCAAGCAGTTAGACCCATCAGGTGAAATCAGGTCTGGATTGCTCACCGTTACTGCAGTCACCCATCCCCACCGGCGGCACAACACCCCCAGACAGCCACAGCCAGCCTCTCAGAGGAGCCAAGCACACCGAGAGCTTGAAACCACCTTGCTCTCACAGAAAATGTTCTCATGGAGCCACATCCACATGGAAAATGCTTCACAAGTAGAGCATACTGCAAATAGATTGCCAAAAATCTAATTGATACACATCTGAATTAATGACAAACTAAATCATCTTCTCATTTAGGAGGAAACATATGAGTAGATGTCTTCGTGCCGGTAGCTAACATGATCCAAAAATGATATTTCTGTCTGCTGTTCTCCACACAAGGCAATACTGTTGAGCTGTTAGAAAGCTATTTGCAGAGCTCCAGAAAAAGGTTCTGCAATGTTTAAAAATCAATATTTTAAAAATCCAAAGAATAAACTAATGACAAAAGCCAGATGAATGCAATGATTATTCATTCTCGCTGATCGGCCTCACCCAAAGGTGTTATATTCACTACATGCCTGCAGACAGGGGTAAAGAATGCAATATTTCAGGTCCGGCACTCTTCAGACAAGTGAAAAACCCATTTGGCTTTAGAACAATAAAAACAAACTGAGGAAAAAACCAATTTCTCTATCTCTAGTCAAATGAACTTCTCTGCCATAAACAAAATCTGTGCAGCTCTAGTATTCAAGGATAAATCAGTTTTTGAAATGGGAAAATAAATTTCAATAAAATTAAGCCCGAAGTAATAACATCATTCTCCAATCAGGACAGATATATATATATATATATATATAGCGAGGCCATACAATAAGTAAGTCTTCTCAGCAGGACTATTATTTTCCAGCAACGATTATCAGAAAAACTTAGGATGGAAAGTGCATCAAGAGTAACTTGAGACCTGGTGATTTGAAGACGACCACTGACTGCTCCACAGGATCCCAAGGTACCTCCAGTGCCTCGCAGTACAAACCCTGAAAACCCTTCGCACGGCCACACTGCAGAGCTAGATATATGATTCAGGTGCGAAACGGCGTAAACCAGAAAGGATAGAAATCGCACCGCTTTGAGGTGAGCTGGCAAGGTCACAGATTCTTAATGTTACAGCTCTCTCCAAGATACGTGAAGACTGCAATAAAGCTGGTTTAAACAACGGCAGAGCATGACGGGAGTTGAATGCTATCAGCAGAACAAACTCACGTTCCAGGGACGGCCAATTTAAGGAAGTTGTTTCAGTTACCAAACGACTTCATTAACACATCAAGAAACAATTTCTACTAGAAGCCAGATTTCTACTCTTCATCCTTCCAAAGCACACCTAAAGCAGCATTTGAGGCTCTGCACGTTCTGAGGACCTCAAATGAAACCAGCATTAATCACACTGGCGGTGACCTGCGGAAATGACAAGTGACTCGGGATTTTCGGAGTTTGTGAGATCAGCGTTTTGTCCAGATAAGACCATTTGGAGATGCTTCAAAACTGTCTACCCAGAAATTAAAGCTCTCCATCAACAGTTACTAATCCAAATCCCTGCCTTGGAGGACAAACTGTTTGTGCCCCATTTCTGAAATCCTGCAAGGTGCTAGAACGATAGAGTGAATTCTTGAGGGTAAATTCAGCATCAGAAACAATACTAGGAAAAATACTCAAAAGATTTTCTAAGAAAAGATTTCTCTAATGAAAAGTACAGAGCACATGAAAACCAGAAGGAGAAGGGTTTTCTAAAGGCCTTCCAGCTACAGTTGTGAAACCAGCACCACACTGGACACATCTATATGGCAATGTCTCTGCTCCCAGTAACACTGCAGGCAGAGGAAAGCAAACTCACTAGTTACTTCAAAATTCAGATCTTTATGGGAAATGTGCCGGCAACCTGTGACCTGCCCAGCACAGACGTGCCCAAAGCAAGAGTGAAATGCTGAAGAAGTGCATTGAAAAGTACAAGTGCAAGGCAATTATGTCCTTAAACCAATGATGCAACTCTGCTTAGTTTGCTTTACTACTCCTGTCCTCTCCCGCCCTTCCAACACGAGAGCTCCGGAATGCAACCCAGCCAGCGAGAGCCCCGCGCGATGGAGCGGGCAGCTATCGCTGGAGTCCCGCCCCGCCGCCCTCTTACCGCTGCGTCTCAAGGATTCTCTACTCCTCACGTACGCTAAATGCCACAATAACCTGGTGCTTCAGTGGCTGGGGCAGGGTGACAGGTCTCATCACGGAGTTCCCAAGATGATGGCAGAGGACGGGAACAGCCAGGCCAGGAAGCAGACAGCAGCTTGCTAACGCCTGCGACTGAGGAAGGACAAACCAGTGACACATCCTGTGGACTGCTCAGAGGCTGGACCCTGGATCATAATGCAACAAGTCTCACTACCATAAGCACACAAGGGTTGTTTTTTTTCAACAGGTTAAAGAAAAGCAAAATTTCCCCAATCATAAGCAACCCTCACATTTAAAAGACATGCATTATCGCTTTCGCTATATACATTTGCACAAAAGCTCTCTTGCTACCAATTATGACCTCCAGGTGCTATATTCATAACAACAGAAAAGACCTGAACATAAAGGAAGCAACAAAACGTAACTGGAAGTGCCTGTAAGCAGAGCTGAACTACTCACATCTCCAGATACTCCATGGATCTAAACCTATGTCCATGTACATACAGTTGTACAGTTTGTTGTGCACCCAAATTCTGTAACTGCTAACGAAACAATTTCACAGAGCACAGTATCAGAAGAGTTAAGAGATTTACTTCTTTCTTGGTCAAGTCACTAAACAGCCAGCAGCCTGCCCAGCATCCTTAGCTCCAGCACATCCAACACAGCCGCACAGCATCTCGACTCCACTCCCAGAAAGCGCAAGTGCGTTGCTTGCAGAAAACAGCTGGAACCATGTCTCGCAACACCACGGGCTCCTTTCAAATGTGTCCAGAAATATATAAAATTAATTTTAGTTCCTAACTGCACCATGGTACTTCCCAAAACAAGGACAAAGTTTTCCACTTCAAGCAGAAAAACAGCCTACAGGAAACAGGGTGGAACAGCAGCAGATTCCACGCGGAGGAGCAACGGGACATGGCTCATGCATTCATTTTTAATGAATATTTTGGGGGGAATAATTTTATATCAAGATTCTTTTTCCAAGAAAAAGAGTCCCCTTTCTTCATTTCAGTC